CACCCAAACAATCTTTTCAGCGAAAATTAAATCCCGCTAAAATAAATTATTTTACAGTAGTACTGCATTAAATTCACAAGACAAATTGTGTGCTTGATAACATATGGTCATGGATTGTGACTTTTCAAGCAATTCTTTCTTCATGAAAAATATTTAAAGATGAGTGAATAGCATTTAGCACTAGAAGTCAAAACGTAATCATAAAAATTTGTACAACACAAGAAATCGATCAAATGAGGGGAACATGCACAGACAACAATGACAATTTCTACTCCTAAGTGCCTTTAATATACTACTGTGGCTTTTTTGGTGATTTGTTGTGACGTTTATAAATATGTTTGTTGCTATTTCATGCTCCGTTTACTAATTCATGAATAATTAATCACATGATATAATGCTTAGTGGCGTTATTTGGTGTATAATTTTATTTCAAAAAAATCTTTTGATTTTCCAAAAAATAATACCGGTACTTGTGATGTTAAATGTAACAGACTGTTTATTAAGGATCTGGTGACCATGTTTTTATCTTGTAGCCACTTACATTTCAATGCGGCACTGAGATTCCTGGATTGTTCACCTAATTTAAAGAATAAAACCAACTACGTTGAGGAGGCTGATAGATTCTATAAGAATCCCAACAAGTGGCTGAAGACAAGATACAGTAAACCAGGAACTCAGCCAAGTCTGTTGGTTTTCTATACTGTCCTGAAACCAGTAAGTATCAGAGATTGCGGTCAAAACCTTGCGCTCATCCAAACCATTCGTTCCAAGCATACCTGCCAAACTTATCGCAAATCAGTTATCTATCAGGTAGCAAATTTGATAGCCATCTTGCAAAACGGCAGTTCCATGTGCATGAGCCCCACCTGTTGCCATTGCTTGTGATATTCTCAGGTCATTTATGCATGATAATTTACCATATGTACTTGGGCACAGAAATGCTATGCTTCAACTTTCAAGAAGCACTAAGAACATTGGAATGTTAATTACTGTGAAACCATTTATTTTCACTGGCATTTAATTTTGATATTTTGATCAATTTCACTGAGTTATAAGTTCACAAACTTGCCAGGTAAGTACAAAGATCTATTGTTATTTCACATGTTCACATATGTTTAATTTCACTTATCTGCGAAAATAGCAAAATTAAAAAAACAGTGAATATTTAATGTGTTTACAGTATCGCTATTGTTACAAATAGTATATGCAAATTAGATTGTATCATTATGCAAATTATCCACCATGTTTTTTGCATTTCTCTAGGGAGGGGGACACTGCACTCTAAAAACATAAATCACTTTTCACTTGTATCCAATCACTATCTGATATTGTTTTGTTTCTATTTTCAGAGAATCAAAGAATATTTGATAGAGCATAATTACAAAGAGGTGTGTATAAAGATTGATCGCAAACTTGTAATGATAAACTAGCCAATTAAATTTTTTTTACAGCAATTGCTGAAAAAAAAGTGTAGCAATGTCATTGGTTTCCCTTGCAATGTTATAGAACGGCTACTACTTAATTTTTAATTGGTCAAAAAACCCTGAAAAGTTAAGGAAAAATTATCAAAATCTTAAAAATTTTGATAGATTTTGTGCTCCTATTTGTTAGGTAGAATACTAGCAGTCTACTTTGATGCAATAATTTGTTTCATTTGCTTTCCAGGGTGCAAAGTTCTTCCACACCCATTTCCCTGAGGGCAGAGTTGGAAAGAAAGTGGTTGTGTATCGTAAAACTTCAAAGGTGCCACCAGAATTTGAAGACATGAAAAATAACTAGTTATATATTGAGGTCATGTTAGACGTTAAGATGGATATAATATTTGGCGATTGTTAAACGAAAAGATGATTTCAGTGATGAGATATCGTTTCATCTACAGTGTGCGTCTCCACTTTTTATGAATTTTGTGACAGTGTGATTTAGAATAAAACTAATATTAATTTTAGTTTAGTACTACTAACCTTTTTGCAGGAAAGTAGAAATAGATTATTTTCTGAGCTAGTGTAAACTCCAGTGATACATAATTGTCTAGTGTATGATCTTCCATTTTATACTGTATCTGAATATGAGCACAATCAAAGATGGATAAAGAAATAGGACATGCAACTGTGGCATTCACTGAGGGTCCCTGATCACAAGTGAGTCTGTGACAGAAATGGCCGGCGTTTATCTTTATCGTTTCCTAGTGTCAATGAATTCCTACTGCATGCTTTCATGAATAGAATGTCAGATTTCTTCTTTCATAATTACTTTTATGTCATTGTCTGATGTTAGCATTCAGAATGAGAATTTGTTCAAAATATATCGCATCACATAATTTCAAAATCCATCATACATCATGAAAGTTGCAAACACATTACCTTTGCCGCATCAGGAAGCATCATCAGGTTCATTCATGGTACCTTAATCTGGGTTTACACAGTATTATTTTTACACAACTTATTTATTAGAATTATTTGACATTTTAAGCATTATTTATCTCATTCTATATACTCAAGTACTCTAATACAAGTCAGAATTTTAATTTAATAGATTACAATTTTGTTGAATTTGCATTATGAACTGAAGTGTATATGGCAAGCTGCAATAATTGTGCAATATTAATAGTTACACATTAACTGTAACCTTTGAAGTGATCGTTATGGTCTATGATGGGTGTCGTTTTCACTTGCATTATATCAATGCAGGTCAGTTCACTCTGTGAAATTCTTTTGAGTTGGTAGACAAACTTTATTGAAACTCGCTTTCAGTTTCCATGTACACCATACTACTGCCACTCCACCATAAAGGTATTACAAGTCTTTCATACCACCAGGGTATTACCATTTTTTTTTAAACAGCAAAATCTGATTTTGTTCCATTCAAATCAAACACACCTTGCTGATCAATGGTTCATAAAAACCATAAAGATACTTCACTTTGAGCGTTATTTTATTTTCCCTGTAAAATTTCATTTTCTGCATACGTTTTTTCCAAATAATAAAGTTTTCAATTGTCAACTTATCAAGTTTGTAATTTCAGCGCATTTAATTTTTTTTAATTCAATAATTATGTATTTTAAATTCTGGCTTGTTCTCGTAATAAACTAAGTTTCCATATCCTCATCTTGAGTTTTTCTTTGTCCCCATTCAGACGTAGTCAGCAAACAGAAACTCATAATTTCGACCTCTGTATCCCAGACATGCCTGGACCAATGTCATTCAAACTTTATTTTCTAAATATCAATATCAAACAGGTGGCAGCATACCATTGCAGAGAATTGTTAAATTGGATAGAAACTTGAGATATATATTGGCTGAAGAAATGGTTGATATACATTTCATATTGAAAAATGTAACAAACAAAATCGACTTGCACTTGTCTAAAGAAAAAAATTGTGTTAGGTTTTTGGACTGGTTTATTGCATACACAAATTAAACAATATTCATTATTGCATGGCTCCAATATAACAATAACATAAAATACTCGGACAAATAGTATGGTAATATATCACTGGGTACAATATTCAATACCTTCACCTATAAAACATTTCCTCTTAAATGCACACCTCAAAATCTAAAGCACACAACAATGTAAAGTTAGTTCACATGTACTGATCTATTTTAATAATCTAGTGGCATATTGTGAGTCTCAGTACTGGTCTAGAGATAAAATACCATATTTACTCTATATGAAGCATCATCCCTTTAATATGAGCATGCATGTAAGTATACCAAGCTTATCTGTTAAACATTTTTTATGGTGTTCACAAATCAATATAATCAACTCTTATGATTCTGCACAAGAATGAAATACTGTAAAATACTTTTAGCTGGAATTAATTTTCGCTGAAAAAACATTTTGAGTGTTTTGTATGGAATTTACTTTCACTTTGTATGGATTTTTGACAACTTGAATGTAAAATATAGGAAAAAAGGTACATGTATATTCGCTGTATTTTATTTTCACTGAGTCATTCCTTCAGCGAAAATTTATTCCAAGCAAAAATAAAGTATTCTACAGTACTTCAAATATGGGTCAGGTCGAATTCTTAACCACAGCAAAAAAGTAAAGGGTTACAATGAATAAACTTGACCTGTAAATGACATTAATCTACAATAGCTTACATTGACTTTTTTGAAAATTACAAAGACACCCTTCTACACATGAATGCTAATAACATTTCACAATTGGAGTCAAGTTAAGGTGGTTTGTACCAAATGTATATATTATTACTGTTAGAAGTGCATCTCTAAACCAAGAAACCAATTTATGATATACCGGTACTCGATCATTAAAATACAACTTATTTTACATACCACGGTAGATATATCTTTGTTATTGATGTAAGTGCACTACTAATAGAGCATATATGGCATACAAATTTTTTTTATTTAAATGGGTTGTTCTTCCTTTACTTTTCTAATAATATGAAGAAAATCCATGCACTGCAATTGCTCAATTAGTAATATATGCACATAGGTGAATCCAGGCGTGAACAGCACTTTATATGCACTCTATTACAGATCTAAGACAGCATTTCTATCCAGGGAAACCAAATTCTTCACATCATTTACAGTAAACCATACCAATGACATGATTTGATTATCGTAAATCTGGTAGCTAGGTCCCATGCAATGTATTCTCGGGAGCTAAACTACATCACAGAATGTTCTACATTGCTCTATGCATTTCTAAGGGCTCTGCCCAAGCTGCTGTGGAACGCCGGTCAAGAGCTGCTGAAAACACCTTAAGTTGAGGAAACAGCACAAACTCAACTTTGAAGCAATCTGAGAGATTTTGGCCTTTGTTTTCACTGTGATGCTTGCCTGGCAGTGAAAAGGCCCAGATGTCCTCCGTGAGAATACAATGTATTTAAACAAAATGCTGCTAACTCAAAATTCATTAGTTAAAAACTAATGGCATGAACCTCCTTAAGGTAGAAGCCTAGTCATAATTTATGACAAAATTGGTCAAAAATCTCATGACAATGTTCATTAGTTTATTATGTACAAACATGAAGCTTATACCCCATGGTACAATGAAATAGCATTATCTTGTGTGATACAGTTACGCTTTTTGAGAAACATTTCTAATATTTCTTGAAAATTGCTATTTTTAGAACAATTCCATAGAACACAATGTTTCTCGAAAAAAAGGCTGGTGACCCCCCAACTATTTTAGGTCAATATCTTTATATGCAAAATGAATAAATTCTGGGTTTTTTAATTTATTAGTAGGCTTCTACCTTAAGGGCATAAATTTAGACTTCAATAATGTCTACAAAGCAAAAGAAAGAAACCTAAGTAATTTTAAGGTAATGGAAATAATTTCCAAAGAAATTTTGATTGATTTTAAATTTGAAATGTTGGTAATTAGGAAGACAACTCAATTTTGATGCCTTATTTACTCCCACATGATTATGAGCATTTTGTAAAACTTGACTTTTTAGTCTTACGATTAAATCATTTTTGCGTTTTTCATTGCATTTATATTAATATTGAAAAAAAGGAACTATAATTTGTTTTAAACCTAAAAAAACAAACATTCTGATGAAAATTTTTATGAAATTGAATACCATTGATAAATTTCTGTTAGAAGGAAAAGCAATTTGCAAACATTTAGTTCATTACCAATGCTGAATGGTTTTTTTTTTTTTTTTTTGTCTCACTATTCATGACATCACAGCAATTGACTACTGTGAAATACTTTATTTTCGCTGGAATTAATTTTCGCTGAAAAGGCTTTTTGGGTGTTTTGTGTGGAATTTATTTTCACTGATTTTTGATGAGTTTAATGTAAAATATAGGAAAAAAAGTATATTCGCTGGATTTTATTTTCACGGAAACATCCCTTCAGCGAAAATAGCGAAAATAAATTCCAAGTGAAAATAAAGTATTCTACAGTATCTCAAATCTACACAGGCACCTTGGCTAGGCACCTGCGAACACTCCTCACAACCCTAGTGCTTCATAAAAGTGGGTTTCATTTGTCAGTTAATGAACTTTCTCAATACTTCTTGAGATGTAACATGTTTTATTTCAATTACATAATTGAATTTCCTAATAATTTAAATATTAAATGGTCTATAAATTTAAATTTTCCAATCATGATAGTTCAAAATTTGAACTAAACCATTTGGCCCGATTGTTTGATCTACATTAAAGCATCCTTGTCCTTTTGGGGTATTTCTTCAACACGTTCTTACATATGAATTATTTAAATAACCAATCAATTAAGATATTTTATATTTATAGCACGAGTAAATAAGTTTCACCTAGAATAGAATATTTCAGTAAAGATCCCTAAAAGAGGAAACTACAACCTGCAATTCTATGATTTATAAACAAAATTTTCACTGATTAAGGTCTGCGAAGGAACCAGTTTGACTGATCGTCCATCTGGTATTTTCTCCACTCTTGGCGTTGTTCATACCGGTCAGCAAACCAGGTATACATATCCCACATGGTGAACCCCACACGCTGTTCATCGCGACTCCGAGCACGACTGAAAAACCAATTATTCAATGTTTGGTCTTCCACATTGTATGTTAACAAGTGACGCTGCTCCTGGCGGTCCACTGCACGTTTGAAGAACCAGTCAGCATCACCTTTGCTTTCTTGACTTCCTGGATGGCCTGCACCTTTAATAGAATGTTTAAAAGCAGTCTCTTGATTAAACTCTCGTCTTACTGTGTTAGCATTACCCATTGCATGCTTCTTTTTCCTGTGACCATTTCCTTGCTTTTTTTCATCCTTCACTTCTTCTTCATCTTCAATGGTTTCCTTCTTCAATTCCTTGTCTGACTTCTGACGAATCTTTTCCAGTTGTTTTTCTTGCAGCTGCCTCTCTTTCTCCTGCTTCCTGTTGTGCTTCTTTGCTCTCTTCTCCATGTCTTCAAGAACATCCTCAAAATCTTCTTGCAGCTCATCCAGATCATTATCATCAGGGTGTGGGTCATCCATAAACTCTTCCAAATCATCCAGGAACTCTTCGATCTCTTTAATGTCTTTTTTGTAGTGATGGTCTTTCAGCCACTGACGATAGTGCAAAAGTTCCACATACAATTTTCTTGCACCCTCTACTTGTTTACCGATACATTCTTGGTTGCCATGGCAGTGGATATCACGGTCATCTTCAAAGTCATCCCAGCAATGTGCTGTGTCTTCTTGTCTGATTCCTTTACTGGTTTGTCTGGGCTGATGTTGCTTTCCTGTGTTTTCAGATTGTTTCTCAGCATCCATCATTCTTTCATACATGGTCTGTTCTTGTTCTTCATCAATTTCTGGTTTTGTTTCTACCTCATCATTCCAAAAGTTCCATTGCCACAGTTTATCTTTAATCTCTTCTCCTGGAAACTTAATTGCTTTTAACCATTTTTTTGTTCTCTTTTGACCCGGAGCATTACCAGCCCTTCTGTTTTCCCGTGCTTGTTGCATTTTTCTCATCCAGGCTTTTTTAGCTTCCCTATAACTGTACTCTCCAGCTCTTCGGTCATGGATCCTCTCTGTCATTGTTTTCTCTTCTCCAGGTAATCTAATACTTCGCATCCAGCGTTTTTTACCTTTAGTTGGTTTCCCATTAGCACTATTCTCTTTCTTCTTTAGTACATGCTGGACTGTCTCCTTCACACCTTTCCATGTTGAGTCAACAGTTTTCTTGATGGTATCAGTCACAGAGCTTAGAGTCCCACTGGTATCTTCACCTTTAAGTATTTTTACAGAATAATTCTGGACAGACTGCCAGGTTTTTTGAATACTCTCACCAAGCTTTGTCACTTTTGACTTGAACTCCTTGGACACTGTATAGTTTTTCAACTGTTGCCACTTTTCATGGAGTGTATCTGATACTGAAGACCAAGCAGATTTGGTTTTCTCGGAATATGCAGCAAACTCTTCTGATTTAGCAAAAGCTTTAATTTCATCTATTTTGTCTTTCAACAAATCATTTAGACTTAGAATGGCTTCTTTACTGGTTTCAACGTATGAACTGAACTCCTCAGACTGGGTGAAATGTAAAACTTTCACCCACTGCTCTTTGAGTGTTTCCGTCAAGTTGACCAGTGTATCACCACTGCTACTGTAGTAATCAGCCATCGTTTCAGTAAAGTTTGTAAGCGGAGTAGCATTCATCTGTTTCATGATATCAGAAATGTCAACCCGAGGAACAAACATGTTGATGCATGTAAAGAAACTAAGACCAGGATCATTTGAACAAGATTCTTGCTTCTTTTCGTGTTCTTCAACAAACAGGCTTCTCCACATTTCGGCTCTTCCGTGTTCATATTCGAGACCATTCTGAAGTTGCATAACTTTGCGTTGACAGGATATTATTTCTGGACTGAGTTCAGTTTCATTACTTTCAATTTCATCAGGCAGTGTTTGCTCATCATATAGTTCAACTGGTGTGTCCTCATCTACCATGACAATAGTGGGATAAACAGTCTCCTGGTTATCACTGCCGATGAGTTCATCCACAGGTTCATCAATTTCAACTTCAATATTTTCGTTACTAATTTGTTCTTCCCAACTAGAAATTTCAGACTCATAATCCTCTGATCCAGTATCCCCTTTGGCATCATGTACACTCTTCAATTGCTCAGAAAGAGGCTTCTTAGGTGGCGCCAAAACAAGATTGAAACTGTCTAAGTCGTTGTCTTTTTCTCCCATTCGTTCATCTTCTGGTGCAGGAGAAACAAATTGAGGCCGGTGTGCAAAAAGCAGGCCAGTAGTACCTCCTCGATGTTTTCTTTCAATGGTATGGAATTCTTCTAATTTAACAGGTGAATTGCCTACAACCTGATCATCAACTTCTTGTTCTCCATGTACATCCTGGTATTTTAAGTGGATGATAGCGCTGTCTTGGTCATGTGCACTGACTTCATCACTGCCGATGACTTCATCAACAGGTTCATCAATTTCAACTTCAACATTTTCGCTACTAATTTGTTCTTCCCAACTAGAAATTTCAGACTCATAATCCTCTGATCCAGTATCCCCTTTGGCATCATGTACACTCTGCAATTGCTCAGAAAGAGGCTTCTTAGGTGGCGCCAAAACAAGATTCAAACTGTCTAAGTCGTTGTCTTCTTCTTCCATCAGTTCATCTTCTGGTGCAGGAGAAACAAAATTAGGCTGGCGTGCAAAAAGCAAGCCAGTAGTACCTTCTTGATGTTTTCTTTCATTAGTGTGGAATTCTTCTAACTTAACAGGTGAATTGCCTGCGAGCTGATCATCAACTTCTTCTTCACCATGTACATCCTGGTATTTTAAGTGGATGATAGCGCTGTCTTGGTCATGTGCACTGACTTCATCCTCTATGAAAACATCTGAACTATAGTGCTCTAACTGGACGTCCAGACTTTCTTGTACATTTAACTGAATATCAGAAACGACATCCTCTTCTGACTGTTCATATACCATGTCATGTTCTTCTACCCATCCGTCATGACTGTCTTGATGATCTATCTGACTGTCATCTTCTATCTGTGCATATGCATCATCTTCACTCGCTGGCTCAGTCATATCATTTATTGGTAAAATGATAACATTATCATTTGTTTTCTCATCTTTGGATAGTGGTAACTCAATAACAGTTTGTTCATCACTGATGTCATCTGACTCTGGTATGGGTGAAATATGAGCAGTGTCAGGCCGTTTTTCTTGCATCATAATAGTTTCATATTTATTTCTTTGTTGATCCAGCTCAGCCATCATGTTGTCTAATTCCAATTCCATCATTTCATCATTTTCTAGACACGTTAGCAGCTCATTCTGAAGAGACTTCAGTCTCAGTATCTGTCCTTCCTGTACTTTCTGTTTTTGAAGGTTTTCATTGCTTGACCCTGAAATACAACAGATAAACTTGATGTCAACACAACAAAGTAGTAATTTAGAGTAATTAAAGTAACAAGTGTGTGATGGGAAAGGCAAACAAAAACATGAAGTTTTACATCATGACTAGTTATAGAGAGTAGCTAAAAAGTCATGTACATATTTACAGACAAGTTTTATCATATACCTTGTATTGCCCGGCCTCCTAACACTAGGGTAAGTGCGCCGTGACATGTGTCATTCTTAATTATGTTTGAGGTCAAGGCATGGTAAAATGTAATTACACCGATAAGATATATGATAAAAATTGTATGGACTAGATACGGCTTTTGCTCTTCTCTGTCGTACGGCTTACACGCCCTTACAAGCGTGGGTGCTTCTGCTGCATGACTTTGGGCTTCAGGCTGCAAAAGCTGTATCCAGCCCATAAAGAACAATACAACACAATTGACAAGTCCAGATTATGCCATAGTTTTTTTGTAATGATACTATTCTAGCTATGACTGAGCTAGGTTTAGCATTGTACAGCAATAATACATTTGAACAAACTATAGCATGAAATGCATATGATTACGGTAAAGACCAACCACAAAACAGTTAAACAATTGTAATAGAACAGTAGAATATGTGCATGCCTAGTTCTGACAACAGTGTCGCTTTGGCACTAACATTAACTTTACACAGATAAATAAATAATAGGTCCTCGGATTAATTATAAAAATAATTACATAAGAAAAGAATTGTAGAATACCCTCAAAACTGTAGAAAAACCTACATTTAAGTACAAATAAGAGAAGGATCATTTTTGGTGTTGGACTTTAAAAATCAGGTTAAGATTACAACAAGAAAGCAAGATTTTGCCAAGATGAAGATGATTATTGCAAAGCTCAGTGTTTATAAGTTATGAAACATATAAAGATTGCTCTTACTAACTTACCAATAAAATGTCCTAGTCCAAGAGCCAGGCCAGCTGTCACCACAAGTATGAGCATCAAGTTGAGTTTTGTGTTGAGACCATCATCTCTATAATGACGATATCGACGTACAGCAGGCTTGAGAGCAACAGGCGAGATATCACCAAGTGTGGAATAAAGTGAGTACTCGTCAACATAAGATGAGCTTTCATCCTCTTCGTTTAGATCCAATGTATCCGGACTGTCTGGTCTGTCACACGGATCATCTCCACCTTCCACTGGCACTGCAAGAGGAAAAACATCAACGTATGATATTGAGTTTCAAAGCATTACAGCACATTCATGCAATGCATTCACCAGGGTTATAATTACAAAACTGATGCTTTGTCCATACATTATGAGTATCAAACTATTCTATTGGCTTGCAGCATGCATTTATGCCCAGTACTGTAAATGAGTTAAATATTCACTGGTTTTAAATTTCCCTATTTTTTGCTGCTAAGTAAAATCTGATAAATTAAATGTACATATTTCTAAAATAACATTAGAACTTATTGTTTTCCTGCCTGGTTCATGAACTTCAAACACGGTGAATTGCTCAAAACATTAAACTAGTTAAACCAAATGCCAGTGAAAATTATTTTACTGTATACTTTATGATTGCATGTACATGTACTTTGTCATAGGTACTTGCATGTACCGGTACATGTAGAAAACAAACAAATGCCATTTGCTAGTTTTCACTTTGACCCATGTACTAAAACACAGGTACATTTTAAATAGACAAATATTTGTTTATTTTGGCCAAAAGTGGCATGATTGTTACAACATTTTCAAAAATTGTGAAAAAATCAAGCAACCACACATGTAGATATGAAATGATATGAAAAGAATTGTAACACTTATACAGGATTTAGGTATGTGTGATACTATATTTCATTACATGTATAGTGTTGTTTGAAATGATAATTAGAGGCTTGTTTGAGTGATTATATTACAACTACCAGGTAGCTACAAAAAGACAAGATGATATGGTGGATGTCTCTAAATTTAGATAATGTACAAAAATATCATGTGATAATGATGTGGCTGTTTATGTGTGCATGACAATATACAGTAGAAGCCCTTGGGATTAAAATTTGGCATATTTTAAATATATTTCTTTTCAGTATGTCCAAATGAGAGCATTTGTCTTGGCTGACAATTCAATGTATTTCAAATTTTCCTTGCTAACACTTTTGTATAATAGTGTTCCAAAGCAAAGGACCACACAAAGATTCCCTTCTGTTCTGAATTACTGCATGCCCCAGTAATTTCGAAACAAGACAAAAATCCTTTTAAATCGTTTTTCTCTCTCAATGTATGCAATTCAGATCATCAAATATTTTATAACAATCACAAGACCCCCAATGAAGCTTTATGTGCAACGTCAAATATTAAAGCATTCTAACACTCATCTATTAAAATGAATTATGATTACAGCTTCAACATAGATGATAGCAAGTAATAGGAAGCTATGATACACAACCTACACTCTAAGCAATGATGGTTTTATTGTAACAGTAAATTCACACACAATTAACTAGACTGGTGCAGTCAGGGCGATTAATTTGTTTTTGTAGTTTAAATAAAATAAAAAAAATTGCGAAATGGAGGTGTTAGTGCGAAATCCCCTGTAACTGCGAAATCACCCCGACTGGTTTATTCTGCATGGCCCTCTATCGACAGTGCAGGAACCAGTCAATTTTTCAACGGGTAATTATGTTAATGAGTGTTCTAATTGACAATCATCTAAGCCAATCACAACGTCTCTTCAATTAACCTCTGACCGAAAGGACGTTGGCTGATTGTAGCAGCCGATTTTTTTTTTTATTTTACGACTAGTACGAGTTACTTACACATTGTGACAAACTCGAATTTCAACGTGCCGCCATGTTGGGTCTGCAGTGTGACCTTTACCATGTTGACCTCATTATGCATTTAATTCCACGCCCCCCCTCATTATAATATGTGCATTCATGAATATTTAATAGCAATGAATTTCCTGCAGAATGAACCAGTCATTTCGCGCTAACACCTCCATTTCGCGAATTTTTTTATTTTATTTAAACTACAAAAACAAATTAATCGCCCCGACTGCGCCAGTCTAACAATTAACATACATGTAGAATTCCTTCTAGAACACATGTAGTTCATGCATTTGGGGTAGCAGAGGTGATTTCATACTGAGATTTAACTGAATGTTTTCTGATTTGCAAATCTACAAACTTTCTGAAAATGTTTTTACTTGTCAAAGATGTATTGAATCTTGATAGACTGACACCATGCTAATATCAGTGTTAGCACTGAGTAAATTAGACATTGAGAAATTTATTCAAAAGTCATTACAGGTAAATATTAATTTTGTTAGTGCTACTTGTGTGACACTTCATAACCAAAGTAAATTTTCGTTAACTTTCACAAAATAAAACCCACATAATTCTTTTAAAAGTTTTGATAAAGAGTGTAGCCATCAGGAAATTTAATCTTTTTGACCCCAAAAATTATCAAAACACTAAAAAAAAGCCAAATGTTGCACCAAAATTTCTTCTGGAAAAATTATGGGTTGATGAAATTTCACTGAGCAACTAAGTGAGATCATTCAGCAAGTTTGGTGCAAATGAGGCAAGAAAAAAGAATGGTGTAGAAACAAAGTATTCCAAAATATGAAGCTCAACAAATTCACATATTACATGCAATTTGTCAATACAGACAGATGAGAAATATAATTGCAGTAAGTTTAAAATAAGGCAATTTAGAAAGCAGACATGGTGAAACACGACAATAACTGAAATATTTTGCATTCAATAGAGTAATATGGTGGTGTGCTAGAGCATGCAGGTATCACATACTTGTGCAGTTAACCCTTTCAGAACTGAAGAGAGTAGAAACAAAACCCTTAAAAAAACCCATGCATACAATTGAATTACCATTATCAAAAAGTTAGACATCACCCAAATATTAAAGAGTCTTACAAATACAAGTTAGATTAGTTATTGTACAATGCATGGTACACGACAGTACTGATAGGGTAAAATACTACACCACACCACTACCTTGTAATCTCTTACGTGGAAAGAAACAAAAGGTGTCCAATGACGATCCTGCTGAAGATGTAAGCGAACCAGCAGCCTGTGTACTCGAAGTGTCTTCATTTTCATCTGGTATGTTTGAAGGATCTATCCGAACGTAATCAGAATCAGAATCACTACTAGAGCTGGGTTGACGTATTGGTATTGGCTTGACAACAGCTGGTAGCTCAGCAGTTACATAGCCTATACAAGAAAAAACAAACACAACATGTCATTAAAATTAAATGTGTGATTAGAATTTTTACAATGAAGGAAAAAACGTTTTATTACAACACGATTTACACATCGTCTGAATTTTACGGTGTGAAAATGAGTTAGGGTCTGTGGGAAAACAGTCAAACGCAAAATCTATATCATTATCTTCATCATGGAATGTTTTCAATTAGACTCAAGAGCTGGATGCAAAGCAATTTACGTCACTATGTTTTTCGGCCGGATTTGACCTGAAATAACGTCCTCTGACCTAACTGGTCTAGTCTTTCAGTCAAAATGCTGTGTTGTATTGATGAAATTTTCCGAAAATGTCTGATTATTCTGATTAAGTGAATTACAGGAATGTTCAAATATGATTTCTCAGCATTGATTTTGACGAAAAACTGTTTATTTTTCCCCCCTGAAAACTGATGATTCGCAATGTTCAAAAGGTGAAACTGAGTGTGGAGGAAGTATTTAACAGCTTCCACTGTCCCAAAAGGTCATGTTGAAGCACTGTTTACTCGTTTCACACCCTATTCGCGATAGTATTAACAAAAGTAAAACGATGTCCAATGACCAGGTTTCATGACTTTGACAGTCACATTTTTGGCGTTTTGAAATCTACCACTCAAAGAGATATGGATTACTTCAGAATTGCAACATCATCAACAACAGAAAAAATAGTCAAAGAAAGCTTAGAAAGAACTCCCGTGTGCCGAGAGTATTGAAGACACATTAAAAATTAATTAAAAATTACTTGTACATGAGATATAGATGGAAAAGCTGAAAACTAATTATGTAAATCAGGTAACTAATATGAACAGAACAGAACAAAAAAATTATGAATTATTATGCTAACTAGAGAATTAATATGAACAAATTTTAACCCAAAATTAATCAGGCCTAGAGTATTTATGTACCAAATTTTATTCAAATGTGATGATCAGTAATTGAGATATCAGTGTTAATTAATTATGTTAATTAGGTGATTAATAAGCATAAATATTTACCAAAAACTAATTGGGTCTCTCCATAGTTCTCTTTAAAAGTTTCGTTAAAATCTTAAGTACCAAGTGTCATTGATATGTGATGATTACTACTTGAAATATCAAAAGTTGAAAATTAATTAATTATGCAAATTAGTTAATTAATATGTACTCATATTACCCTAAAAACTATCAGGTCTGTGCAGTGTCCTATGACGTCTATGCACCAAGTTTCATTGAAATGTGATAATTACTACTTGAAATATCAAAAGCTGAAACTTAATTAATTATGCAAATTAGGTAATTAATATGTACTGATATTACCCTAAATACTATCAGGTCTGTGCAGTGTCCTATGACATCTATGTACCAAGTTTCATTGAAATGTGATGATTACTACTTGAAATATCAAAAGCTGAAATTTAATTAATTATGCAAATTAGGTAATTAATATCTACTGATATTACCTTAAAAACTATCAGGTCTGTGCAGTGTCCTATGATATCTATGTACCAAGTTTCATTGAAATGTGATGATTACTACTTGAGATATCAGTGGAAAAGCAGAAAAATGATTAATCATTATGCAAATTAGGTAATTAATATTGCACAGATTTTTACCCAAAATTAATCAAATCTGCGCATTAGTTTGGAGCATCTATGTGCCTAGTTTCATCAAAATCCAAAGAGTGGTTCTTTAGTGGAACAGTCATGGAACAGCTAAAAATCAGCTAATTATCATGCAAATTAGGTAATTAATATGCATGGATTTTTACCAAAACCTAATCAAATCTGTGCATTGGCTCAGAGCATCTATGCACCAAGTTTCATCAAAAATCAATGTATGGTTCTTGAGATATCAGTGGAACAGACACACACAGACAGACACACTAACTGCAAAGACTCCCTTTTTGTGCTTCGCACACGGGAGTCAAAAACCATATTGCATTGTTCGGCATTGCACAGTGAAATTAATGCCATATGGCTCTTGTTAAAAAGAGATTATTGTACCAATCAAGATTTTTATGCAATAAAACACACTTATTACACAAATATTTTTAATAAATTCAACCCATCGTCAACGTCTGGTAAAAAGCACCCTAGGCGTATAACCCGGGATGCCCTCAACTAATTAATGTTTAAAAATAAGAGGTAGGCTTATACCCAGAGAGGGGTCTATGATCAGGGAAGTACAGTAATAGGGGGGGGATTATAATACCGGTATATAAAAATCATGCCTACCCATGTTTTTAGCCTGTTACTTGAAACACCGAATTTGTGTTATTTGGCATTAATACAAGAATTTTGTCTTTAATTGCAATATCATAAATTTGTAATCTTGAAGTTTTAAATATATTACTATCTTATTAATATTTCCTTTTGTTTTCTATATTAATTTGCCACTTTATTTCACCAAGTCTAAAAATAATATATTGATTGATTATGATGACGAAGCCTGTATATAATCTGTTTAATTTATACATGTAAAGTCTGAGAGAATACTAACAACTTATCAGGTTAATTGATATGCAGGCAATAAACACTTTTAGTTAGTTTAGAATAAAGACCAATAATATACAGTCCTGGATTATATAATACTACTTTACTAACCTTTTAAGGTAGCGAGAAGGGAAATTTTCACTTTTTTCTTTCAAAAATTGATAAAACGGTTACTTTAGACCTTGATACATCATCCCAGGTTTACAAAAGATCGAAATTGAGAAATAACGTTGCTTAAATTAGTGTTTTAAAATGCTAGAACAAAAGACTACAACTGCCGTTTCCTGGATAATTGCATAATGTTTATCTTTGGAAGGGTTTAAATGATAACATCTTATCTGTATACTTTGTTGTTGACGATTCTGATATAACGGATGCTAAGCTTTCCGTCGCAAACAATGCGTGTTTATCTAACGTCCATTGTCAGCATTATTGTCAGTCGAGAAACTGAGAAACACGGTCAAACAGTCCGGGCATACAGTACTCATTTCGCCCAACCTTCCGCTTTTACATCAACCGCTTATCGCTTAATTTTCGACCATGTCCGACCGGAAACCGACCGCATTTTAATCGCGTTTTTTTTTCCGCTAGCTCGCTCATTGAAACACCGACCGCTCGCCCAAACACGTATCACTGGCACATGAGTGGACGAAATGGTGGTTTTGATAGTAAAGTGTGAACATACAACTAGTATTAACTATTCCCGGTATTAAATTCTGAACGACACTTCAAATCTAATAGTTGTATGACACTTGTATCGTGAAAGCAACTGAACTGTGACCTCTTGTTACGTGTTTTGGGTGCTTCTTCTAGATGAACTATTTTTTTTATTAATTTTAATGATAGTTACGTGAAAAAAGCATAGGTAACTCATTTTGACAGAGCAGAGAAACAAGGAAATGTTAATGATTAATTCCAAAAATAACGATATCGAATCCACATCGGTCCATGTCTGGTAAAATTTAATGAGTTCAGTCTATACCGTATACGCACCGTAAAAGTGTTCCCACAAAAAATATTTTCGACTAAAAACGGCCACATGCCCTGAAAAAATCGAACAGAGCTTGACATGTATGAATAATTTATTGGGCTTAAAAAAACGTGTCAAATTCAGTTATAGCCATAAATATTTGGTGACCAGTCGATGAACAATTCGTAACTCAGGATTCACACGGAGGTCCTTCAGGGCTGAAAATCATCGACCCTACTCTGGTTTACTTTTTTTCCCAACTTGCAGAGAAAACTGATTTGCCGTGGACTCTAATGTATCTCAGCCTATTATTTTCTTTTTGAACTGAGGTCAAAATATACCGATGTTTTTCAGCGAATAAGTTTTAAAGCCTGTCACAGCACAAAAACACTATGTGAATCGACGCCGAAAATTGGATGGTACGACGACCCTTCAATTAGCGTCAAATATGCTTTGTTACAACATCATTGATTGGTTGAAAGTCACATGATCGGAGCACAACCTGGGTCACAGAACCATATTTGTCAGTATTATCAACAGGACCACGCAAAAGAACCACACCCACATTTTCTATCTTTTTTAGAGCGAAAGTTGCCAACAAATGTCAAAAAACTCGTGAATTTCATGGATTCAAATAAAATAAAGCAAGCGATTGATAAGAAATCCGAACGTTCCTGGAGTACGGACTCAAATGCCAGCAGTTTTCTTCATTTTTCACGCTCGAGCTTGAAATTATTCCTTATCTGACACTCTTTATGAGTTTTATGATATCAGAGGTTAATATTTTTGGCCATTTTTAGTGTATATTTATAATAATGCAGCAAATCTACAGTGTTTTTATTAACCAAAATTGTTTTTCGCGTTTTTCTCGAGTTGAGGTTTCGACTGAGTACGACTCATTGGGACCGCCGCCAAACCAAGTGCGTTCGGACTAGGACATTTGAACTCGCAGCTATCGTTCAAAAGATAATGATGGTGTGAAATATGTCTGGGTTTTTAAAGAAAATGCTTTGTCACAGAATAATAGTCTGTTAAAGGTGCCAAGTATGAAATAATTTGGGGACAAAAAAACAAACCTGCATAGAAATCGGAATAATAGGTCTTTTGATTACCAGGGACACATTTCAATGGACTTGATTACGGACAATGCATGACGTAAATTTCACCAGAAAATTCTGCAGTGTGCTCTCGCAAACGCGGACTTAGTCATTTTTACAAGGTTCGCAATTTTTGATGTCACGTGATAATTATGTAAACAATGACTGTCCAGTTTGTACGAACTTGTACCTCTATACTTAGTCTTTTGAAATATATAAGCTAAATTACTGTTCTGAACGAGACAACAGACAGAGAATGTTTTATTCGAAAACGTCACAAAACCCTTCTCGCTACCTTAATGGATATAATTTAATCTCAAAAACATTGAATGAAATAAGTTTTAGGGTTGATTTTAAGGTGAACTTTACACAAGAACTGCTAATGTCTGTCTTATTCACACTGAAATTTACACTAGCATATCAATTAATTAAACAAGAGTTTTAGGATTTTCATCCAGGTCCTCTCATTGACTTTTAGGCACTATGTTTAAATAATTAAAAAGCTCCTCATGCCTTGTTGCTTAAGTACATGAAAACTCAGAGTGACTTTGATTAAATACATGTATCATAGTGAGAACAAATATGATTAGCCATGTTGAATAACAAAAAAAATATCCAGCAGTGAATATTCTACAATCGATTACTAAAATGTTGTTTAAAAATTTCCGGAAAATACTTTGTTATATTCCTAGACTAAAATGAATGCTGTGGGAAAATGCTCAGATTACAGCTCATACTATTTACATGTAAATACATCTATAGCTGGTTTACATCCTATACTTAAACCCTGTGATTACAAATTAAATACAACTGGATAAACACAAATCTGGATTACAACTTTCTCATTTTACCTTGAGAATCCATTAGCGATGATAGTGCAAAGTATACTTGACTTACAGGATATGCAATTATGATGTGTGTCATCAGCTATATTTAGATTCAAGTATATTTATTGACTACAAACTATATCTTCATATATGTGCACTGTCTCAACAATTCACAAATCCCTCAGGTCATTACAGAAACTATTAACTGTATAAAAATAGCCAATAGTGATTGCAGAAACTGATTAAAATAGCATTGTTACTCCCCTATAAATAACAGAATGTGTATTTTTATCATGTTAAATTAACAGAATATTATTACCCTACAAATTACAGCTAATTTGTAAGCTACTTTAATTTGTTTTTAAAAGAATGGCAAATACCCCGATAACGTCATTTTCTAAATTTAACTGACACAAAAGTGGGAATAGGTTGTTGTAGGGTTGGAACCTTAAAACTAATTGCATATGCATGCATGCCAGGGAACATAAATAACATTTTATTATATCTTGCAATCCAAATACAATATATACCTACTCCCTGAATTTAGCAATTATAATACATTTTTAGTATACACATGTACAGACTTAATAATTTCTCCTTCTGAAAAAGCTAATAATCTGCTGAAATTAGAATCAGGGAAAATGTGTTGTGAATGTATTTAGGTTCGCTTGAATTCAGAACACCAGTTGTGAAAGCTTTACACACAACAATGAAACAGGTATGGTCAAAGTTCATATACAGACAAAAAATGATCTTTACAGATAAACACATCAAAAAATAAATTGTAACTATTGCCCAGGCTTTGAGGACAATACATAATGCACCAAAAATGAGTGTCCAAAATTGTCAAGGTTACAGAGTGAGACGAATTGTTAACTATGATATGCATATTAATTATGTGTTCTTTTATGACATAATTTATAAATGAGAGATCACATAGAAATATTTCTTTGGTCAAAATAAGTAATATTTGAATGAGAAGAATACAATTAATGCACTAATGGTTAACATGACTCATTATTGGAGATGCACCGGTAATGCAAAACATTTTTGTAAGTTCACAGAGGCTTCAAATGCAATTGCCATGAATGCCAATCTTTACAGATATTCTCTACAATATTCTTATAGATATTGCATTAAAACTTGGTGCCCATTCCTAAGTGCAAGCCCCAAGATGGTATAGAGATGGCAAGTATCTGTATTGCACCAAACTAGGTCATATTGAAGAATTGAATATCATAAGATGGTATCACATGTGGAAACTCATGTATCACAAAGTAAACAAGTAACTCACCATCTTGTGTTCCTTCATTATTTATCAATGCGTGTAATACATCCTGTAAGGATTGACTGAATTCCATCTTAGTCAAGTCCTCAACTTCTTCATCATCAGAATCACCGGTTGCTGTGACAACATTTTCAACAGTCTTTTCTTCAGGAGTTGTTTCGATTGTGGCAACCTGCTCAGCTGGCATTTCAAAATATTTTATTTTAAGCTCTTGAATTTCATCTTTGACAGTTTGTGGCTCTTTAATCGATTCATTCTGATCATAAAGTGTTTCTGGCTCAGCAGCATTGGGTTGCTGGGCAACAGTTAGATCTGCATCTGCATCTTCTTTTTGTTTATGATATTCAACTGTATCTGTATTTTCCTCTAAAGTGACAAAGTCTGAAGAAGTCTCACTTTCATTTCCCTGTGTATTGACATTATTAAACATTTTAATAAAAAAGAGGAAATGATGTAATTAAGAGTAAGCGTTCTCCTTAAATTGCAGTGTAACAGTACCAGTACATTAAAAAAAATGTCATTATTCCATTCAGTATTCAAGAATGTGTTGTTCTTTGTAATCATAGACCCTGTTTTTCTAAGTTTCACAGAAACTCTCCATCAATGCTCTATTACTAAAAGTTACCAAGGTAATTGTAGTGATAAACATCTTTCCTATTTGAAAAAGATGACAATCACACACCTGGATTGTTCCTGCATTGTCTACCACTGTCCAGTCACCTAAGGAGACCTCACTGTCGCTGGAGTTGGCTGACATAGTCAATGATTTATTCCATGAGAAAACAAAGTGTCCTGAGAACAAACCAAGGATAATCTCATTTGAGGAAAAAAAAAGCTGCTGTCAAAATACTATCTAATTTTAGCCTCAAAATGATATTTGAAGCTCGTGTTGGCTTAATATTTAATATCTTGCTCAGAAATATTAACCAAGATTAGAAGATATAGCTGGCATAAATAGATAATATTTGTGATAATAACAGTCACTATGCAATACGATACCGTTCTGACGTATGGTAATGCAAATTATATTAATTCAGGTCACATGATTTGAGGGTCAACGGGTCTCGTGAGTAGAAACATTGAATAATAATAATATGAAGAGAAACAGCAAGCACGGCAATAAGAAACACGAAAATAAATGCAATTATCACTTTATGGAGATTTTCAATTAAATTCAAAGAGTGAATTTCAATAACGCTGTCCATTTAACCAATAAATAAACAGCAAAATAATAACAGACCGCCATGACGGAAGGAAACGGTGCACGCATTTACCGTATAAGAACTTATAACAACTCAAACACCATCGTGTACAAATAACTGTGGTAAAATATAGCACTCAAATTACGCAATAATTCAGTTTCTATACTTGATATACACGAAGATAATATGGCGAGGTATAGATAAAATAATTTGGCCTACACCCAGCACGTTGTGTAACGCAATAGTCGTATCAAAACATAAACACAGTCCGCCATATTCTTCATTACTTATCCGCGTAAACGATCAATTCTTCTTCATTATTTTCTCTCTATGCGTCTGGCACACCGACTACCTTACCTGTGAGCTGTCAAAATGTAAATCCTTCTCTAGAAATAAATATGCAGGTTTCGAATAGTCTATAGTTCCGAGAACAACTGCATGCAAGCGACATATAAACTCAACTAGGTGCTGATCGCAGTTTTCGTTGCTTCTATTTTGGGATAGTCCCTGACGTCATACCTATCACGTGCATTGAAGTAGCCAATCAGAAGTGACACATTCTAGCCAATCGCAAAAGTACTCGTACTCTGAAAACTCAAAGCGTGTTTTTTTTTCAGAAGGGCTTTTCGTCTACCCAAGACGACCGCTCGATGAATCCCACGTACACCTTGACATGAAATCAATGCATTTATATTGCCTTTAACTTTTATTGTTATTGTTCATTGCCCTAAGCTGGAAGGTGCATAATCTCGGACCACTAATAAACCTCTTATTGCAACACCTTCTTCCAAGTTGTCTTTTTGCTTATTAGAGTGTTTTTTTGAGATCTGTAATTTTGTTGTAATTCTTGTTAGTGTGTTGTTGTGTTTTTTGTCGGTGAGTGTATGTTCACTGTGTTATGTAAGCATTTTAATTCCTTGTCTCTGATGACTCTGATGACTATTGCCCACGAAAGCGCCCAACTTTTTCAAGTTTACGTTTATAGAATAAACTGTGATTTTTTTTACACAAGTGAACTGCTTAAAAAGAGTAACTCAGATATTGTCAAACCAGTACCCTATAGTACCATATCCCTAAAACGCGAGTTGTTTTATTATATATACTTCAAAACGTCACTGGTGTGGATGAATAATATAATTATCTCAGCGTATGCCAGTCTCATGCACATAGACAAAGAGCATCAAAACTCGGGGTACCCAAACGACATATCCTGTATTTGTAAGGCCGTTAATTTGCCTATTTTAATATTGTTTTATACTTTTTTTTTTTCAAATTTAAACAAACTTGATTTGATGATGCACCAGTAAACAACTTGCAGCATTGCATTATACAGAGTCAACTTTTTGTAGCCAACGACTTGCAACATTGTATAATGCAACTTTTGTAGACATCAACTTGCAACATTGCATTATACAGGGTCAACTTTTATAGACAACGACTTGCAACATTGCATGATGCAACTTTTGAAGACATCAACTTGCAACATTTAATAAAACAATGTCAACTTTTGGAGACAACGACTTGCAGCATTTCATGAAACTGAGTCAACTTTTGTAGACAACAACTTGCTACATTTAATGAAACAAGGTCAACTTTTGTAGACAACAATTTTCAACATTTCATGCAACAATGTCAACTTTTGTAGACAACGAATTTTAGCATTTCATGAAACAGGGTCGACTTTTGTAGACAACAACTTGCAACATTTCATGAAACAGGGTCAACTTTTGTTGACAACAACTTGCAACATTTAGTGAAACAATGTCAACTTTTGTAGACATCAACTTGCAATATTTCATGAAACAGGATCAACTGTTGTAGACAACAATTTTCAACATTTCATGAAACAATGTCAACTTTTGTAGACAACGACTTGCAGCATTTCATGAAACAGGGTCAACTTTTGTAGACAACAACTTGCAACATTTCATGAAACAGGGTCAACTTTTGTAGACAACAACTTGCAGCATTTCATGAAACAGGATCAA